ATAAAATAAAAGCACAAAACTCAAAAATTAAAACTTGTTTAAGGCTAGAATATTGCTTGCTATTAATTAGTCGAAGTAGTAAAAAAAAAAGGTCACGGCAACCTACAGTATATTACACAAAGAATAATTACTAATAAGATCGTTGGGGAGGACATGTCCAGTGACTGCTAGGTTATTTACTGTAATCTATATTTATTAGCTTTTTAAAAAATCACAGTATAAAAAATAGGCAAACAAGCAAGATCAAAAAATTTTTTTAAAAAATTTCAATTTAAATAATTGAAATACAGTTGTTTTTTTATACTAACAACTCTAATTAAGTAATATTGTATTAATTTTTAAGAATTAATTTAAAAACTTTGTGAATTTCTATTTAACCTATTGATCCAGGTTATATATATATAACCTGGGTTAATACTCTAACCTACCCGGGTTAGTATTTTCTAACTTAAGTAAGAGCTCTATTATTAACTACACTTTAAATTATTTATATATACAGTATATATACATCTAGTATATGAGTGCTGCCAAGAGAAAAAGGCCGATCAGACTTTCAATATATTTTGTATACAGTTAACCATCTATGAAAAGTTTATTATGGTGATAAATTTTCCATAGATAGCTAACTATACACAAAATATATTAAAAGTCCGATTGGCCTTTTTTTCTTGGCAGCACTTATATACAACAAAAAATTTTTATTACTGTATATATTTTTTAATCACTAGGTTTGTTTTACAAACCCATGTAAACCCAATTCTAAAAATTCATCAATATGTTCAAAATTATAGATAAAGAAGCAATAATTTGAGCTTCACTTGAAATTACAAGAACAATTATTCTCTTTTTTTTGACAAATTTTTTTCTAATTTAACAACTCTATATTTGTTGAGCTAAAATTTATATATAAAATTGAGATAAGTCAACTCATTTGATTTATAAGTAACAACACTCATGTGAACATGTCCTGTGACTGTTATACATTATTAATTATATTTATAAAAAAATAAAATAAAATATTTATTTTCTTTATTAAAAAAAAAATATATATTTATTTTATTATTTAAATTTGATAATGGTTACAAGGTATGATGAAACGCAATATTATACTTTTGAATACACATTTGAGAAATAAAAGAATGGTTCTTGGACAAGATTTTTAAAAAAAGTATGATTTAAAATCCAAAAAAATATTTGTTATCGTAAGAAAATATTGGTACGATGTTTATACGTACGTTCAGTATATCAAAGATCGGATCATATATCTCCAACAGATATTTAATCCGATCATCCATCGTGTCAATTTTTTATCCATCCATACGATAACCACGGTTGAGTTTTAAAATTTTTATTAGACAGAGCAGATTATATTACAGTATCAGTCTAATAAGAATTTTAAAACTCAACCGTCGTTTATAAAATTTAAATAAAAAAAAGTTTATTAATCTAAAAAAAGAAGGGTTTTATAATTTATTGCATGGTGCAATACATTGCGCTCCTATAATAATTAGAGTTAGGGTGCACCTCTATATATAATAATTAGGGTTAGTGTTAGTTTTAGTGTTAGGTTAGTGTTTGGGTTAGGGTTGGGGTTAGGTAAAATCATGAGAGGATTATTTTTTGTTAGTTACACAACAGGGCTACCCTAGTAAAATTTTAAGATATAGTAGGGGTGCAATACATTGCAGGTGCAATAAAAAATAAAAAATTTTAATTTTTTATCGGTATATTTAAATAGAAGTTGTGATAAAAATTATGTAATTTTATGTAACAGTTAAGCAAATTATTTTTTTTTTTATCACGATACAGCAAACACAAAGTGCTGACTTTACAAAATGTTTAGTCAGTATTTGCAAATTTGGTATTTGATTTGAATATAATTTTAACTTCTCAATCTCAGAAACTGCATATCATGTGTCCAATTTACAAGTTACATTTACCACACAATTACGCAAAATTATGATAATTTTACATGACAACAATATTGGACTAAAAATAAATTGAAAATAGCCCGTCGCCCAGGTCTATGTGTTACGGTAATAAAGGTTAGTTTTGATGCTAATTGGCGCCAGTCTGTTCTAGGCTGCATTATAAAACGAGACTCTGAATGGGACGGTTAACTCATGTGATCGAAAGTCGGCCAAGAAGCAAAGCACTTACGTAATTCGTGAAACATTACCACTTTATATTAAACAAAATTTTTGAAACCCTTTTAAATTCATCAAATCTCCATTCATCGTATAAAAACAAATGCCATACGTGCATCCTTTATCAATAAGCTGTTTAAGGAAATCTTCAAATTGAATAAGTGTCACAATTGAATAGTACTTATAAAAAACTTTAAATTTTTTTTGAGAAGCAAGGATTTCATACTTGTCATAATGGCTTTGAATTGGGTAATGATTGCGTCCGATGGAAAAAATCCTGTTCCTCTTCCTAGAGAAAAAATATTATTCAGGTTTGAATTAGTATAAATAATTTTTGGGTCCAACTGTCTCTTTGAATTAACAAATTCTCGATTTTACTAAAATGTAGTCAAGAAAAAGTGTCCCTGGTGCTAGAGATAGGCGGGTAATGTCAAGTTTTAATTAAACCAGATTTTTATCAGAAAGAGCATACTGTACTGTAATTATATTGACATGATCTCATATTTTATTAGAGGATATCCCGGAAATCCAGGAGATTATAGAGCTGAAGGAAATATTTTTATTACTAGCCAACGTGTAAGTAAAGCGTTTTGCAGTGTGTTAATTATAATTTTTTTTTAACAATTTTTTGGATAGGTTATATTTATTTCTCGCCCACCTGTGCCTAACTTTCAATCTTTAAGTGTGCCTCTTTTGAATTTGAGAGAAGGAAAATTTCAACAACCTTGGTTTGGCGCTAATTATTATCAAGCACATTTAATACCAGTGAGTATTTAATATTTTTGAATAATAATGTGGTAGCTGAAGCTGTAATTTTGACTATATATTTTATATAATATTTTGAGGCACATTTTTTTTTTTTTTTTTGGAAAAGATTGAATTTAGAGTTGTGTTGCATTGGGCAATGATCAATAAAATTTCATTGGATGCATAATTAAAATTGGACATATGTCCAATAAAGTCCAATAAAAATTTTATTATATCCAATTGGTCCAATTGTCAACATTGGTTTTAATAGACTTATAGACCCAAAATTTCAGCTTCAGTCCCCACAATTAATTTTGAATGTTAATATAATAATTTTTATAATAAACAAAGGTACAAAATGGTGGGTTACCATCTCCTGGGCTATTGAAAGTTACTTTCAAAGAAGGAGGTTAGGTTTCAAGATAATTATTTATAATTAAGAATATTTAACATTTTGTGTTAATCCAGTATTTGAATGCAAACTAAACAGGAGGATATGAGTTCAGCTCATGTTACACCGAGTTGATACAGAGGCTTACGGGTAAGGTTTAATTTAATAATTTTTAATTAATTAATTAATAAAAGCCACTTTGATTTAACCATTATTTATTAGAGAATGAAGATTATGTTCTTATTGAACATACTGAGCCATTACCAACTTATACACCACGTGAAGATTCCACATCATCAACAGCCACACAAACATTGGGAACAGCGACATCATCCAACTTTTCACCACCAACAGAACCTCATTCTACTTCTGTTAATTCTGTAGCACCTCCACCAGTAGCTCCGGGCGAACTACCACCTAGTTATGATGAAGTAGCAAGCTGATTAATAAGTCAATTATGTTGATATCTATTATATTTAATAATTTATTTAGTTTAAAGTATCGAATGAGAATAGTTTAGTGATTTTTAATAGAGGTTTACATAGGAATTTACATTATTCTAATATAAAAAAAGAAAAGGTCGCTTAAGCTTTCCAAATTTCAAGCAAGAAAATGCTTTGCAGTGAAGATGAGTGTATCGTTTCTTTTCTACAAGTTGCATCTGATGTATTATTTATCAACTCACTATTATTACTGCCAGTATATTTGTCATAATCAAAATTAAACGATTTAAGAGATATTTGTCGACATTTAAGTTTCCATTTATCTAATAAATATTGAATAGTTCGCTTTGAACTTTAAATATAACTATTAGTATGGATAAAAGTTTGATTTAACCTATGTATTGATGTATTTGGTCTCTGAAGAAATATAAACGTACCTTCGTTCTTGATACGAAGTTAGAAACTTTGCATTTTGTGTGTGGTAATTTAGTATATATGCTACGGTTGCGATTATATCCTCAAAGTCTAAATTTTAAGAATGTGAAAATTGTTAAAAAGATACATACATATTATATTTATATTAATCATCAAAAAAAATATCACTTTAATAATTAACACCTTTGGGATCATAAAATGTATCACTACCCAAAATCCAATCCAACTTCCTGCCATTTTGCTCAATATCACGTAATAATTGCAATAAATTTCCTTCTTCATTCTTATCTTTTTCTTGGTTACCAAAACAAAATTCACCCCAAGTTAATCCTCTTATCCAAATATTTGATCGTAACGATCCAGCAGAAGTATTATCGGACGTTATCAACAACCTATTCAATCGCGCACCATCATGAATATTTTCGAGGATCTGCGGACAATCAGACCGATCAGTTAATATAACATGTGTTTGAGTTGATAGTGAAGCGCATAAAAATCCTGGTAATGAAGTTCCTGCTCCTAGCTAATATTAAATATATTACGATATTAATTATATTGTTTAAGGGAAAGAATTTACAATCTATCTGAGCTAAAGGAATGATTACTTCTAAAATAGTTTTATCTTTAAACATATCTCGATTCTCCCAAATATATTCTGCCAAAACAAATGCTGACGGCCATATGTAACACCCATATGATGGATGAAGTAACTAAAAATATTAAAGCTATTAATGCATCAAGATTTTTTATTTTTTTTTAATAGACAAAACAGAGTTAGATACTTCTTTAATGACAACTGTACGGTATTCGTTTTTCTCATGAAAATTGTTTCCAAAATAAAACGTTTTTGTTGAATTCATACTTAATGATTAATGGAAGTGTCCGATAAAGAAAAAGAAACTTTGTATTAAGTGACCCTTTAACCCAACAGTAAGGCCTTACAAAATTTAATAAGCTGTATCTTAATGGTTAAATAGGTCAATTTCATATCGATATATACCGGTATAAACTAACAGATAAATACTGTATAAAATTTATACGCTTTTTCAGGGATCCAAAAATTATTTAGCAAAGCAAAAATTGATACAGAATAAGGCCATACTACGTATCGGGTTTCCAATATCACCAACTAACCCTTTGTGATCCGGAGATACTTATCTGTTATACAGTATCCGTATACGTATAGTATTTTTTACGTACGTATCATCATAATTATTAACATATATGGTATTTTTTATTATTATTACAATTACAGTATATATAAAAGTCTGGTTTTTAGTAATTAGATACAGTAAATAATATATAACAAAAAAATTTATATATATATATATATACAATATATATATATATATACAGTGGATAAAAATTTTGCTGTGTCAAATTTTTGTACTACAGTATACTACTGCTTTTAATATTGAACTGTATACTGTATACTGTATACTTATTACTGTAGACTATACAAATTTAATTACTTGGTTTTCATATCATGAAAATTTTAAATAAACCCGGTCTGCCAGCTTTTTTTTAAATTTCATATACAGTATACTGTAAAATTTTATCTAAGTTATAAAAACATACAAAAAATTCTTTTAGAAGTTTACAATTTTGATCTAACCGGGTTATAAAAACCAATTAATTAATTTTGCATGGCCTTAGTATAAATATCAATAGTCAAAATTTAAAAAAATCATATAAACTGCTCATGATACTTTTTATTGAAATTTAGCAATACTTACTAAAACATTTATTACGTATAGAATAACTAAAAAATATCAATTTCGAATATATATACTGTAAATACTATACAAACTTTTTTAAGATTTTGAAAATACAGTAAATTAGGTGCTCTTGAATTTGTATACAATACGACTGAAATTCTTTGGATTAATTTATCAAAATCTACAAATATAGTCGTATTAGTCAATGTAAATGTAAAAAGGTATAAGTACTTATAGAAGTAATTAAATAATTACTTAAAATCTTAATGTAATTATGAGAATCTGATGCAATTTAAGAGATTGCCTTGAAACACTTATCGCGTTTTACGTAGAAGCATTAGCTTTTGCATAAATTTTTTTATTAGTGTAAAGATTTTTTTTAAAAATTGTTAATATATTAGTAATGCCAAGAGAAAGCCATTATTTAGGACTAAGCCTTGACTACGACACATGATATGTAATTTAAATTTTCTACGCGAAATTTTTTGATTTCCAACTGATTTCATAAATTTTGGAACACTTAAAAATTTACTCGTTTTCCGAAACCTCTTCGATCGTGTTCTAAGAGTAGCTGACTTTTTAGCAATCTACTTTGCTGTTCTTGGAGTTTCAATACAGATACAGCGACGTAATTTCTGAAAAGTTAGGTGATTCTTAGAACGAGCAAATTTTTGGGTGTCCCGAAATTTATAAAAACAATTGTACATAAGTGATATTAATATTAATTTAAATGATATATAATATATACTGTATCATTAAAATTAACCCAGTCATTTATGTGATATAAAAAATAATATTTTTGATATAGTGACATTTAAAGATAGAAAATTAATAACCTTATTTTATATGTAATTCTATTATATCACTTAATTATTAATCATATCGTCCATCTAGATCTAACGATGATCTTATATGAAAACGTTCGAAATTCTAATACACCCTTCCTTACTTTGGGTTTGGAAGAACATTGTCGAGTTTAAAGGAAGATGACTTCCTCAGACGCAAAAGCACAAGCTAAAAAGGAATTTGAAGATGTTTTTGTTACACTCGCTGAAGAATTCTTGGCAAATGTGAACTCTCGAAAACTTCCAGAGGAAGCAATTGAATGGATTAGAAAGGTTTATACTCATTTCGATTTTATAAAAGGAAATATACTTTTCGTTCAATAGAATTCACTATAACTATTTTAATTAGAACATTTATCATAATGTTTGCGGAGGTATAAATCATTTATTGTTTTTAATGGTTTAAATTTATCCTATTTTATTAATCGAGTTTGTTTTATAGGAAAAATGAATCGTGGCATGTCCGTGGTCGATTCGCTTAAAATTTTAAAAGGTGATGAGGCTTCCGCTGAAGAACTTTTCAAAGCGAGAGTTCTCGGATGGTGTGTGGAATGGGTAATGTTCTATGGCATTAAGTAACTTAAGTAACATTGTATAAAAAATTTACTTGGAAATTTTGATTTTTTAGCTACAAGCTTTTTTCCTCGTCGCTGATGATATCATGGATGCCTCTATTACACGTCGTGGAAATCCTTGCTGGTATAAAATGGTAAGTAGTATCAATTAACCATTCATTATTATATTAATGCTGTTTATCTAACGATTATTTCTATCTTTATAGGAAGGAGTTGGCACTATCGCAATTAATGATTCGTTTATTTTGGAATCTTCAGTTTATTTCTTTTTGAAAAAATATTTTCGTCAAGAATCCTACTATGTTGATTTGTTAGAATTATTTCATGAGGTAAGATATTTTTAAATCATAGGAAAAAAGATTTAGGCTATTATACTTGTTTTGACTAAACTTAAATGTTCATAATACTATTATTCATGGTATTATCTTTCAAAGATCACTCTAGATACTGAATTGGGTCAATTAATTGATTTGATTACCGCACCCGAGGATAATGTTGATTTGAACAGATTTTCTATGGAAAAGTAATACCTATGTCAAATGTTTGCAATTGTTATATAGTTACTTATATTAATTATTCACTATAGGTATAAATGTATTGTATTGTATAAAACGGCATTCTATTCTTTTTATCTTCCGGTTGCATTGGCTATGCATATGGTAAGAATTTTGATTTATTTAATTTAATTAAAGTACTTTCTTATATACAATTTATTATAATTATAGGCAGGTATAAAAAATGAATTGGCATTTCAAAAAGCAAAAGATATTTTGCTACCATTGGGGGAGTATTTTCAAATTCAAGTAAATATGTTGAATATATTTATCCATATATGATTTATTTATTATTATGAGTTTTATTTATTAATAGTACATTATTTTTTAGGATGATTATCTTGATTGTTTTGGTGATCCAAAAGTAATTGGAAAAATTGGAACAGATATTGAAGACAATAAATGTTCTTGGTGTATTAATCAGGCTTTGTTAATAGCATCACCTGAACAATATAATCTTTTAAGTGTAAGTATATATATATTTTTAAATAATACCTTTTAAATAGTCAAATATTAATTAAAATTAACTGATATATATTTGACAGAAACATTATGGTAAAAAAAATTCTGAAGATGTTTTAATTATTAAACAAATTTATAAAGATTTAAATCTTGAGAAATTGTATAGAGAATATGAAGAAAATTCTTATACATTTTTAGTTGGATTAATTTCTCAATTAGATGAAGATATTATTAAAAAAGATATATTTTTGGAATATATAAATAAGATTTATAAAAGAAACAAGTAATTTAAACTTTTTATTTATTATATAAAATAATAAATTTAAAATTTATAATAATCAATTATACAAATAAATTTTTAATAATGTTTTTATTATTATTTAATATATTGTAATTACAAAATAAATAAAATTTTATATAGTAACTATATACTGTATAGTATAACTGGTAATAATAATTATCGCTCGGGTACTATATTTCAAAATGTACCAAGTAATTAAAATTAGAAATTCTAAATAAAATGGTTAAAATCCCAAAAACCTAACTCCAATTAAATTTAAACTAATTGGGGTTTCAAAATTAACAAATGAGTTGCGCATTTTGAAAATAAGTAGGATTTTTTAAATACGTAGTATTTTTACTATGTTGAATTATAAATCGGGAAAATAAAATAAGTTTCTCTGATTTTAATTTAAACCCCTTAATATATCTGACTCTAACCTTAATCTATAAAAACACTCTAAAGGGCGGCGATAGTTATTTGTATTTAAATTCAAATTAAATATATATATACAGTATAATTTTGTTAACATTATATAAAATTTTTTTTTTATATTAGTAAAAAAAAAAAAAATAGATTAAAAACTTTAAAAACTACTGTAATTTTGTAAAAGATTATTAACATAACTAATACTGTAAAACTAAAGTAAATCTTGAGCAATATAACAAAATACTGTATATGTTAACCAAACTTGCAAATACTATATACCGATACGTATAATTTATAATCTGCTAGTTTTTTTTTTTTCTAATTAAACACAAAAAATTATAATTAACAATGCATAAAAAATTCTTAAGTTCTTACAGTATTTACTTTTTTTTAAAAAAGTTTACTAGAAGGGATTATTTAATACTGCTTGTTCGTACATCATTTATTATCGTACGGCAATGTTGTTACTCCATACCAAAATTTTGATCGTATTTGTACGGTTGAGTTTTAGAATTCTTATTAGACAGAACCGATAATGATCTGCTCTGTCTTAGGAGTTTCCTTATGTCAAGAAAATGATCTACATCCGATATAACACCCAATTTTGATAATATTATATCCATATATTGT